CACGACACCAGCAAGGAGCAGATCATTCGAGACCTTACGACTGTCCTGGAGTCCCACAGGGAGAACACGGTTCGGCATCACTACATGGACAAAGGGATCAAGTTTGTCATCAAGAATTGGCGACCCGAAGACCTACGCAGAGACGAGGATGGAAGGAGAATGAGGGTGTGCCCGGCATGCTACAACATCGTTCCAGCATGCTTCTCCCGATGCACGTCCTGCTGGTCACAATTCGTTTCTTGCGGATACTACCAAGGTACTCCACAACGGGAGACTCCTACGGAGATCCCCAGTGACTTCATTGCTCAGACAATGGAAGCCGCGGCAGCAGCAGTGCCTGAGGCGACCGTCGAGGAGCAGGAAGCCATGGAGACAGAGACCGTTGCGGAACCTGAGGAAATCCCAGAGCCATCTGTCATCGCGGAGGACGATCCAGAACAGGAACCTGATGAAGAAATGGACACAGAGCCAGGAGAGGACTTTGATGACGCAGTACCAGATGCAGTTGCGCAGGAACGACGTCCCGTCCTCATCGCCGGCCAGTCTTTGAACATCGATCCTGAACTACAACTCGCACGTACCGCCATGCAGCCATCCTACTACCCAGGAAAGCGAAATGCCCATTGCATTGATGCCAACATGGCCGCTCTTTCGTATATGGCATTCGTGGTGTGCAGAACCATCTACAAGGCTTGGTCAGGATTCGCGAAGTGGGCGACTATGCCGTTGTTCCAGATGAGGGAGAATTTCGCACTTGGCCAACGCTATGATGTGCTCGGAAAGTGGGGATCTTTGGCTGTAGTGGACAGAGAAACGGGTGTGAGCAGGGATGTGACTGACGAGGAGATCATTCGCTTTGCCAAGGAGCCTGAGAACCTCAAGCAGTACGATCCCAACGGGACTTACACTTTGAAGCGCTTCCGGACGAATCAGATGCTTTCGTTGCTTACACGGGGAGCCAACATGATGGGAATTGGCAGGGACAACTTCAACCCTACTACGTACTTGAAGAGCAACAGGGATGAAGATGTGAAGGCTATGCACTTCTGTTGCCTGAACGTCCTGTGCGAGGTGATTCCGATGGTGACAGGACACCAACAATTCTCAGTGCTACGACCAACGCCAACTGGACCGGTGGACTTCCTGTACATCGACCCCGTCGGTATCCTGCTGACTCATGCCGATCATTCAGTCCAGACCATTGGATTGCTGGTGGACCACAATGTGCAAATGCCTGCGCATTTCATGGACAGATTGGTCAGATCCAAGGCTGAGAGACAGCAAAATCCGACAACCAAACGTACGGAAGCCCTACATCACATCTCGGCCGCTGAGTATCTCCCTGCGGGTGGTACTTCCATCCTGGACACGCCCGTCACCACGGAGGAACGTGCAATCGCTTCTTCGGCAAAGGGACCTTCAAAAGGGCGTGAAAGGACCGGAGATGAGCAACATGGTGGCTGGAACGCCAATACCTACCAAGACTACATCGCCGGCAAAGGCCGAAACAAAGGGAAGGACAAAGGAAAGCAAAGGAACCAGTATCCAGAGGAAAACCTCCGGCCCTGGGACCGCGATCCTGCGTCCACGCGAAGATGGAGGTGAACCAACGCATGATCTACCTCATCTTCCAGTTCGTGACCTCTGAGCTTCGCCCGTGGAATGCCATCGCGAATGCTTCTTTCTTCGGTGACGCCTGATTCGTTTGCCATTTCAGGGGATCGTTACTGACGTAGATGAGTGTCACAACGTTTCTAATTGGGATGCAAAGCTCTGATTTTCAATGTCAACGTTGCGGCGGAACATTTTCTGTTGTCCTATCGTGCCATCTTCCGGGTGAGCAGCGTCGGAGACGCAACTCATGGGGGGTGCGAACGGACTGCGATGCCTTGTCAAGTTCTAAGGTGTCACTATAAGAGCTGTGAGCAAGACCGTGTAAAGTGCAAGAGAAGGGGGCACGCTACGCGTCCCTCGACTCTAGGAGTAAGCTTGTGGTCGTGCTACGCACACCGCATCGCTTCTCCTTACCTTTCTATGTGACCGCCCACGCAACGTTTGGCTCAAGTCAATGCCCATAGCTAAGTGCTATATGTGTCTTCTATCCTGAGCAATCAGAGCTACCCCGTGCACAGACGAACCGCCGCCGGCAGCGAGTGCAAAAGGAACGGCCGCCGGTTCTGCCTGCATAGGATTGCACGCGTGGAAGTGTAAGAGAGACAGGGTCCCAGTCTGTGGAGAGTGCAAGCCAGCCACACCTATATTCATTACAGCTCTGGTGGGGGGAGCAGCAACATAATCGAGATCAAATCCCCACGCAACCATATAGGGGCCTGAAAAATTGCCTATACTATTTTGGGGGGTCCCTGTTATAATTATTGTATAGCGGGCCTCCAAACTCCATTCTAAATATCAAGGCCCCTAAATAACATTTCTCAAACCTAAGCACTACGTAGCCTCCCACCGCAAACAAAAGTCATAAACGATTGGCCCTAAACCCTAAACCCTAAACCCCTAAACCCCTAAACCCTAAACACCCTGAACCCTAAACCATCTCAGGCTAAGTCAGCTGTTCGTGCCGCACCGGAAGGACCGGTTCAAAACCAGAAGGGTTTAGGCTAGGATGCCCAGTAGTACCCTTATTCCCTTTTTGTAGTCCTAGGTTCCTTATAAAGTTACCCAATACCAAAAAGAGAGGCCTTTTTATTCTTAGGTTACTGGGTATCCTAGTAGGGCTTAAGGCTTAAGGATTAGGGTTTGGAGTTTAGGGTAAGCTTGGATGGTGTGTTTGCTGATTTTTTGTGCTTGTTTGTTTCTAGGCGTATGTACGTGGTAGTGGGAGTAGTCGTTGTTGCTGTTGCCTTGCTGTTGCTGCTTGAGCTGTTGTTGCTGTTGACATCTCTGCTTCTGATGTTGATCTTCGGTTCTGAATGTTGTTGTGGTTTATTATCAGCATAGTTGTCGTTGCTATTGTTGTTGTTATCCTTATTTTCATATTTCCAAGTATTGCTATTCTTGATATCCTTCTTCATCTTCTTGCAGTTGTGCTCTTGCTCCTCCTCTTCCTCCCCCCCTCCTCCCGCTGCTACTAGTTATTGGTGCAGTGCTAGTAGTAGTAGCAGTAGTAGTAGTAGCAGTAGTAGTAGTAGTAGTAGTAGTAGTAGTAGTAGTAGTAGTAGTAGTACTAGGAGCAAGAGGAGTAGCAGAAGCAGTAGCAGGAGCAGTGGCAGTGGCAGTAGCGGTCGTAGTAGTAGAGCAGTAGTAGTAGTAGTAGTAGTAGTAGTAGTAGTAGTAGTGGTTGTAGTAGTAGTAGTAGTAGTAGTAGTAGTAGTAGTGGTAGTAGTAGTAGTAGTAGTAGTAGTAGTAGTAGAAGCAGTAGTAGCAGTAGTACTAGTACTAGTAGTAGTAGTAGTAGCAGTAGTAGTAGCAGTAGTAGTAGCAGTAGTAGTAGCAGTAGTAGCAGTAGTAGCAGTAGTAGTAGTAGCAGTAGTAGCAGTAGCAGTAGCAGTAGTAGCAGTAGTAGCAGTAGCAGTAGCAGTTAAGTAGCAGTAGCAGTAGCAGTGTAGTAGTAGTAGTAGTAGTAGTAGTAGTAGTAGTAGTAGTAGTAGTAGTAGTAGTAGTACTAGTAGTAGTAGTAGTACTAGTAGTAGTAGTAGTAGTACTAGTAGTACTAGTAGTACTAGTAGTACTAGTAGTACTCGTAGTACTAGTGGTACTAGTAGTAGTAGGAGTACTCGTAGCACTAGTAGTAGTAGTAGTAGTAGTAGGAGTAGTAGTCGTCGTAGTAGTAGTAGTACTACTACGACCACGACGACGACTACTACTACTACTACCACAACCGCTATTACCAGTACTACCACTACTACCACTACTACCACTAATACCACTAGTTCCGCGACTACCACGACGACAACAGCTATGAAGACGACGACGAAGACGACGACCGTGGACAGCGACCACGACTATGACCACGACTGCTACTACGACTACCACTACGACTACCACTACCACCACTACGGATCTACTTGTACTTCTGTAAGTAAACCCCTAACACCCCTAAGCCCTAAGCCTTAAACCTTCTAAGTCGTAAACCCCCTAAGTCCTCAACCCTAAACCCACCAAGGCTCGCCCTGAAAGTCTCTGTCAGCCTAAGCCCACTCGAATCGTAGGGCATATTATAGCAGATTTTAGTAGGTTATAATATGTTATAGTATATTATAGTATATTGTAGCAGATCATAGTATATATAGTTATAGTATGTTATAGTATATTGTAGTATACTATAGTATATTCGAGTGTATCATAGTATATTATAGTATATCATTGTATAATCCTAACTCCTATCGAAGGGCTCCACTTGGAGGTTCATGGGTCGTCATAAGTAGCGAGGTTCCTGAGTAGTACCCTTTATAACTCCCGTAATGTGGCTTATAAAGGCAGGACTAGTATTCAGGGTCCTGAATACGCAAAGTAGAAGTTGACAAGATGCAGAAACCCGCATACACTCCGTTACCGTGACCGTAAACCTGAAAGCCAAAATCCCTATAGCCACAGAACCTTAAAGACTAAACCCAGTAGACCCTAATCCCTAAAAGCCTGGGCCGTAATCCCTAATCCCAGTAAAGCCCTGATTCATCGTCTGGCTAACCCGAATCCCTGTTTGTATCCTTATAGAGCTCTGTAAAGGAACCCTTATACTCCCCTTTAATAAGCGTCTGGAGTACCATACTTCTTGGCACCTGTTCCTTAAAGGAACCATAATGAAGAAACGTCTATACTTTTCTCCTTGGTTACTTCAAAGACCTGTTAACGGAACCCTTATAGTCCCCTTTAAAGGAGCCCCTAAGCCCCGAGAACCCAAAAAACTCTAAACCCCGTAAAGGAACCCTTAAAGGAACCCCTAAAGGAACCCTTAAAGGAATCTAAAGCCCTGGTTCATCGTGTCGCTGCCCTTTCGCCAGGTTCCGAAATCCCCGGATCTCCAGGCGCGAATCGACGAGGAGATGGCGGAGGCCGGAGTTATAGTACAAGGGGCTGAAGAAGGGGTTTAGGATTTAGGGTGTAGGTTTAGGGTTTAGGGTTTAGGGTTAGGGTTTAAGGTTTAGGATTTAGGTTTTTAGGATTTAGGGGTTTGGGTAACATTTTACATGCCGATGGGTATTTAAACCCAATAGGGAATGAAAATGTAGATATTCAATCCTATCCCAACAATGAACTAGTATAGTTATACAAAGGGCTGACGAAGGCATATAGGGTTTAGGGTTTATGGTTTAGGATTTAGGGCTTATAGGGTTTAGGGTTTAGGATTTGGGGATTGGGGTTTAGGATTTATGGTTTAGGATACAAGTTTTAGCTAGGCATTTGAATCGAATACCCTTAAGCCGGGGAAAGTTGCACTAATCATCCTCAAACCATATGCCAACTCTCTGGAATGTGCTGTAAGATCTTCTGATAGATTCTTCAGAGCCATCAGCTTTTTCGTTGTGTATAGGGGCTTTTATGCGGTTGAATATTGGATCCTTTTGCAATCAGGGTTTGAAACAGGGACCTTGATAGTTTGAACGTAGGGTTAGGGTTTTGGGTGCTTGGAGGTTAATAGGGCCTCACAAGCGGGGTTAAACAAGGGACAGATATCCCCACTTCCAACTACCCATGAACCTCCAAGTACCAACCAGGGACCTGCATGAACTCTTCTCACCGTTTTAGGTAAGCAGCGGGGCAGATCCCTACAAAGAAATCAGGGTTTAGGCTTTAGCGTTTCGGCTTTAGGGTTTAGGGTTTAGAGGATCGGTGTTGCCCTTCACTGTGGTGACCAATACAGACTCGAGGGATCGATCCTGAGTACCCGGTGAGGGTCCTTTAAGGGTTCCTTGAAGGGTAGGGGTTTAGGAGTTCAGAGGTTTAGGGTTTAGGGTGTGGAGTTTAGTTTAGGTTTCAGGGTTTAGGAGTTTAGGGTTTAGGGCAGTCGTATATGAGGCTGAGTCGGGTTCAGGCAACAAACGGACTTGGCAAGCTCCAGCCCAAAGCAGCCAGGATCCCCGAGCCCAGGACACCCAGGATTGGGCAAGTCGTGGCTGGCGGAACTACAGTGGTGATTGTGACGCCCAGCAAACGGAAGTTGACACGGCCCAGCCAACGAACATTGACGAGGCCCAGCCAACGGACATTGAAACTGACGACCAGCCGATTGAACAAAAATCCAAACACCAGAGGATGGCTTATTCCGAATACTGGAAACAATATTGGGAGGAGTGGAGCTACAGCGAAAACAACAACATTTCGGCTTACACTTCTGGCTGGCATGACTGGAATGAGTCGTGGCCTGCTGCTGAACCTGCAGCAAATCCGAACCCGGAGGGTGGCACCTACGACCCCTACAGTGGAAGCCAAAAAGTTGGAAATCCAATAGCCCCACTCCTGAAGAGTAATGTATAGGGAATCCCAGCACTATTTGGCCTTAATCCGGTTTCCAACTTTTTGGGGTTTACTGTAGGAGTTTATGGATTAAGGTTACGGGTTTTGGGATTTGGGTTTATGGTATAGGGTTTAGGGCTTAGCGGTTTGCGAAAAGACAACCCTGCTTTAAGGGGCTCTTGTTGAAGGATTATTCTAGACGCTAAACAACCTGCTCCCTTGTTGACGGATTACTCTAGACGCCTGGACTATTGCTGATATCTTGGGTATTTCTAACGGGATGTACCAGACTATAACCTACCCCAAGGCTCTTTCCGAATTATTTATTAATCCCGATCCAAACCTGATATCTAAACCGTTTCAGAAAACTGCACAGAGCCTTTTCAAGGATCTATCAAAAGGAACTCTGCTCTACTACTTCAGGCCCTCAGTTAGGGAGGTGTTTAGGACGGTTGTGGAGGGGAGGTGGGTTTTGTGGGCTCTTCTTAAGGTCTCAGACTATCAGGGTTTAGGGTTGGGGGGTTTTAGGTTATAGACATGTGCATGCATGTCTTTGCATGATCTCATGTTCTAGTGTTCACCGTTCAACGTAGACGCCACGTGACGTGCGTTGCCTCTTTTGCATGCTGGGCGAGCTATTACCTGCAGGTGGATGAACCCTAAAACCCTAAACCCTAAACCCTAAACTCTAAAACATGCAGGTGGATGTTATCAGGTCTCGATGAGAGTACTTTGACCACTGCCCTCCCTCAGCCGTGAAAAAACCCAGGTTCCTGAGTAGTACCCTTTTGCCCGATTTTATTTCGGGGTCTCCGTTTTAAAGCAGAATAGTAGGAAAAAGGGTACCTTTATTATCAAGGGGCTACTCAGGAACGTAGTAAACCTTGACAAAACCTAATCTTTGAAGTGAAGGCCCATGTATCCTAAAACGCGTGCGGAACCCTAACAATACTCTGCGCCCACTTATGAAACCCAGAAGCCTCCCATCGTAGCACAAACCCCGAACCCTAAAACCTGAAAGCGTATCCCGAAGGGGTTACACCCTAAACCTTGAACCCTGAACCCTAAACCCTAAACCCCAAACCCTAAATCCCAAACACCCTAAACCCTGAACTTAAATTAGGACCTAGAGTAGGCCCGTATTCCCTCTGTTAGGGTTCAGGTTCCCTTAGAAGCCCCTTTAAACCAAAAAGGGCACCCTTGTATTCCTAGGTTACTCTTGGGTCTAGTAAAGGTGCGGATGCAGATGGTTCATAACCCTAAACCCTAAACCCCAAACCCTAAATCCCAAACACCCTAAACCCTGAACTTAAATCATATTCCGGAAGCGTTGCTAAACCTGAGGCCCTAAACTCCCTAAACCCTAAACGGCCCTAAACCCCAAACCCTAAACGCCCTAAACAACGACACTCTGCGTACCACTTATGAAACCTAGAAACCACCCATAATAGGAGAAACAACCCTAAAATCTGAAAGCCTAACCCTAAACTCCAAACCCCAAACCATAAACCCTAAACGCCCTAAACCCTAAACACCCTAAACACCCTAAAACCCTGAACTTAAAGGTGCGGGTACAGATGGTTCATGCCCTAGCCCGCGTCATCGTCCACATCTGTCTGGCGGCATTTTTGGCTGGCATCGTCGCCCCTTCGTCTATAAAGGAGCCCAAAGCCCTATTCCAAGTACCAAGGCCCCACATGAATGTGGGAACCTACACTGCTGAAGTCTCCTAGGACTCTAGATCCCGTATACCCAACCTTTGAACTTCTTGGGTTCTTATAGTTTAGTAGAATCGGAAAGTTTAACCTTGTATTTCTGTGGCTTATTGGGGGAGTACTTGTGGTGGTTATTTTAGGGACTTATAAGTACCGTAACCCCAATTAGGGTCCCTTTTAGGGTACTTATAAGTCTACTTACTACCTACTTACTAAGTCCCCCCGACCCTCCAAGCAAGGCCCTCTCAGGGTTCCTTTAGGGGCTCCTTTGGGTATAAGTGCGCCTTTAATCCTTGAAGGGTTCCTTTGAAGGATTGCTTTAAGGGCTTTGTGTGGGCTAGGCTTGATGCAAGTGGTGCTTCATCGTCGCGCTTTCTGAGGGTTCAGGGTTTCAGGGCTGAGAGGTTCGGGCTTAGGGTTTCGTTAAGGGTTGCGGGAGTTAGACAGGTGATTCTACAAGGGTTGCGTAGGGGCTTTACATGTCGATGTTGGGTTGTAGATGGGCTTGAAGCAGGATTGTTCGTGGTGTAGACACGGCTTCAGTTCGTGTTGCCACAACTTGGGATTTTGCGCTTCATGGATTCATGGACACTTATTCCTAGGTACATTGATCAGTGCTGCAGCAAGCTGCAACTATAGCTGTCCTGCTCATGACCTTGTTTCTGGTTCCAGAAGGTTTAAACGAGGGTGTAAGGTTTATGACTATTCGTTCAAGGGTTTAGCATGGTGCGCCCTGCTAGAATGCTTCTTACAAAGTTGCACAAGTATTGCAGATTCTTTGGTCTGACGGATGTTCTGCGTGTTTCAAGACCTGCAACCATGAATTTAACCCTAAACACCCTGCCCTAAACCAGGACGGAAGTCTCTTTCGTTGGGAGTTTAGGGTTTCGGGGCTATAGGGCTTAGGGTCTGCTTGGAGGTTCATGGGTAATTATAGGCGGGATTATAAGTTCCCTCAGAGGGGTTATAAGTCTAGTTACCCCACTTGTAACCCCACTTGCAGCATAACTACATTTGAACCTCCGAGTACTATGCTTTACGCGAGGGCTTCGGTGAGCAGGAGGCGGTTTTCGTAAAGGCAGGTTCCCTGAAACTGGACCCTTGCAATCCGGAATCCGGATCCTGCTGTCCTACATCCAAACTCAGGGATCTCAAAACGACTTAATCATAAAACTGTTGCAGGACATCCCTACCCCAGCGGGCTTCATTATAACGGCACTTATATGGGATATCCCTATCCTGAGTTTTGCTTACGTGCTTTCTTTGGGCCTCTATAAACCCTACATGGTAGGGACTCTTTTCTTTTCTCAAGCTCCCAGGTAAGAGTTTCTGCGTGGTGCTCTGGTGGGGATACGGTTGATGGTATATGAAGTAGGGTTTTAATTACCGTTTTGGTGAGAGTAGATAGGGCTCCCTTTTAATATTGGTGAGTGTATATATTGGGTTTTATTATGGGGATACTAGTAATATAAACCATACACCATATATCTTGCATTATCCACAATAATGAATGAACATACCATAATTCCCATAGTTTAGGGTTCTTGAGGTAATGGTAGGATTTATGAATCTAACAGTAGCTCCCAAACCCAACATCCTAAAACCAAGCCTTTTCAAACAAAGAATCCCAAACCCCAAGTCCAGAACCTCTAAACCTTAAAACCCGAACCCAGAACCTTTAAAACCCCAAAGGCCCGAACCCTGCATCTCAACCTGGCGCCGTTCGTGCTTGATGTAGCCCCTGGACTGTCTTGCAGATATGCAGGGAGCCCAATCCCCCCTTAAATGAGGAACATGCCTGAACTATCCTGAAATATGGCGCCGTAAACGTATGGGTTTTAAGCTATACGTAACCCCAAGTAGCCCACCTTTTTAAGGACTTGTGTAAAGAAATCATATTAGGGAACCCTAAAAGGGTAGGTTCCTTAGGGTCCAGGTATTCCGTAATTAAGGGGTATTGGGCTCTCTGGGTCTACTTCTCAAGAGCTCGCATAAAAGGGGCTCATAGCCTGAAGAAGCCGTCAAACAAGGGCCGCGTGAAATTTACCGTGTTCCACCCTTGAGGTTATCTTTGGGCCTTTAGAATTTAGGGTTTAGGGTGTTAGGGTTTAGAGGGTTTTGTGTTCAGGGAGCTATGACTTAGCTTTGAGGGCTTTAAGGCGCTGGTGATCCTGTTCTTTCTGTGTTTGTCGACTCCGGCCACCCTAAACCCTAAACCCCAAAGCCCCGAAATGCTTAAACACTAAGCCTAAGGCTCGAAGGACTCATATTTTATGGCTTGTCGGCCGAACGACCAGGGATGAACAATCAGGCTTTTCGGCCATTTTGGCCCTTGGGGTATACTTTTAGGGCCATTTTAGGACTTAGTCGAAGAGTTTTAAAAGCAGCAATAGCACTCCGAATGCCAATCCATCGCTGAGGAACTGTGGCGTGAACCCAGCCACTGATCTGCAGTTTTGGGCAACATTAATCACCCAGAGGGTCCATATACACTACCCATATTAGGTCCCAAAAGGCCATCCCGATTATGGTTTTGGGAGCTTTAATTCCATAATAATTTTAGTGTGTATGGACCCTCTGCGTTAGTCGTCACGGTACCCAGGAAGCCCACCAGTACCCTTAATTGAGCAATACCTGTGAAATTATTGGAGCCTTAATATTATGCTTTAAGGTACACTAATTATAGGGTATTATTGGGCTCTCTGAGTAGGGCAGTGGCAGTAGCAGTGGAAGTGGCAGTTGCGGTGGTCGTCGTTGTCGTTGCCGTCGTTGTAGTAGGGGGAGGAATGCAATAGCAGTTTCCTCATTAGCACCGCTTTCCCGACGAAAGCCTTTTGCCCGTCGCCTGAGGCATCCTCGCTCTCAGCTGGGAGATCATTGCGCTCTTCACCTGGCTCATGTATAGTGCTATTCTCACGGGCCAGGTGCCATGGGATTAAAGGGACAGGGGAGTTTCCGAGAATTAGGGTCACCTTCATTTTGAGGTCGTTATTATAAGGAAACCCTAATGACTCAAATTTTTAAGGCCACTATATTAGACCCTGCCCTTCACCGTAAAGCCTGAATCCCGAACCCATCACCCTGTGAAAACAAAGGGTCTCTGTTTTTCAAGAGCACAAAAAACCCCTGCCTGAACCCTAAACCCTGGTAAGGTTCTGGAGAGGTAGTAGCAGTAGTAGTAGTAGTAGTAGTAGTAGTAGTAGTAGTAGTAGTAGTAGTAGTAGTAGTAGTAGTAGTAATAGCAGTAGTAGTAGTAGTAGTAGTAGTAGCAGCAGCAGCAGCAGTAGTAGTAGTAGTAGTAGTAGTAGTAGTGGTAGTAGTCGTAGGAGTACAGTCTGTTTAAGAAAGCACTGGCTAAGAAAACCAGTGCTCTGGATTTTCCAGAAATATGCATTTTCACTGCCTCTTCTAACTAAGAAACTGAGTGCCCTCTGACGTTCGGAACCTATTTTCTTAACTGTGTGCTTGTCCGGGGCTCTGATTTCTTGTTGAGGGAAATGAGGACTGATTTCTTCAAGTAGTGGCATACATGTATCTTCTAAGGATTGCTGGTTGCTGAAGCCCCAATCACCCTCAATACAGTTAAGAAAATGACAACTCCTTTTCTTAGCACTGTCTCCACATGGATTCTTGAGTAGGATTCTACTAGATTTCTATTAGAAATACATTGGGCCCTTCAGAAACAAGGTCATATGCGGCAGTTGCACAGGCGCAGTAGATCCGGGCGATTGCCGAGACGAGGGTGCCGCCCTCATCAGTGTGCTTTGCCGAGTTATCTGCTGGAAAGGCGGAAGGTGCTGGCCAGGGTGCAGGACACAGCTCGTCGTGGCCTGTCCATAGGAGACCTCCAGCAGGACAGCTGTGATCTTCAACTCTTTGCTGCTGCGCTGGCTCGAGCTATGGGGGACACGCTGACGCTGAATCGAGTTGTACACGGGTTTTAGCCTCTCCCCTGTGTGGGACAGGATCGCCCGGGCTGCAGCAGACATGCCCAAGTCGCCTGGCCAGGCTGCCTTAGCTCCCAGCCGGGGGCCATTACACACTCAGGAGCCGCCTCTCATCGCGATGCTCTCGCAGTTGCCAGCGAGGTGGTGGCTGACTTTCCGGGATGCAGTAGCAGTGCACGCCCCGGTGCTGCCGCTCGGCTAATACTGGCAGTTGCTGACAGTGTTGTTTTTGTTCTTGTTTGTTTGCTGTCTGGTTTGTCTCTGTGTCCGTGCGTGACTGGGCGTGCATGTCTGTCTGTCTTTCCGGGCTGCGACACGCCAGTGTACTGCCAGGGTTCGTGCGAAGTCGTGAGGGATGACGCAGGGCCGCCCACGTGCGAGAACATGGGCGACGAGGCTGCAGGCTGGGCTTCGTCGCCGGCCTCTTCGCGGCACTTGGAGTTGCAGGACGGGCCGGGCTATGCCTGCCTGTTGCCGTTGAGCTATTTCATGATCGGATTAAGCAGGACTTGCAGCATTCCCCGGCTGCCTCGCAGGCACGGCCTGCAAAATGCTTTTCCTATTGCGGCCTGTTGCGTCATGATGCGACGTGCTGACTTGCCTGCAGGAGTGTTCGCCTGTTCTGCCGATTCCTTCGGGCACCTGCGTGATGTACCAAGATGCGAGGCCTGGCAGGGACTCGTCCCTGGTGTCAGCATGTGCTGAGAAGTTCATTCGGCAGGTCCTGGGTCACAGCCCATCCAGGGCCCGTGCCGGTTGACTGGCTTTGGAACAACGAGATGGCTACGTTCTGCCGCGGCGAGGCCGAAAGGATCCGTGCCTCTGGGGCGACATGGGGGCACGTCGAGTACGACGGCATGCTCTTTCTGGCCTCCGCGGCCTCCGTTGTTCGACACATGGGTCGAGCTGCTGGCTCCGCGCGTTGACGCAGCTGGCGGTTTTTGGGCTACTGGGGCTATCGGTCTCATGCCGTTTCTCTTCGTTCCACGAGCACTGCAGGACCCGCAGGCCGAATCATGCGTGTCATGCTCGGACGAGCAAGCCCGGCACCGGAAAAACACCTGACCTGGGAAGTCCGCGCATCGGGCTCACGCTGGCGCGCAGATTGGACCGAGGACGGCAGCAAAAGCAAGACTTTCCCTGTCAGGAAAGAAGGCATCAAAGGAATTCGTGCAGCGTGGCGAGCCGCAAAGCTCGAAAAGCAGAGGCTTCAAAGCGCCGGGATTCCTGAAGACCCGCCTGGGCAGTCTGGGAAGCCGGAGTTCTCCTGTCCCAAGAAAGACCATCGCACGGGACACTGGTACGTCCAGATTCGGGGCAAATATCATGGGACCTTTCGGACACGTGGCGAAGCTTCGGCCAAGGCCCGGGCAGTCAAGGCCGGTCGACGTCGCGGGCCTCGGCTGGCTGGGAGTCGTGAAGTTGTTCCTGCCTCTTGATAGTTTTGCACAGTGCCTCTCTGCAGCTTTCGTGGTGAGTCATGGAGCTGCGTGTAGAGTGTAGAGCCATGACAATCGGCAGATGCGGGCTTCTGCAGCTTGACTGCGCTTTTTGTAGCTTGCTTTTAGGATGTACAGGTACAGCCAGGGCATTCCAGCTTGCCTGGGAGTGGAGCCAACAGCACCTGGGGTAAAGAGTTGTGCAGTCCTGCCTCCGGTGTCGCAGAGCGATGCTCGATGCCAGTGCAGCCAGTAGGGAACGTCTAGGACCCACAGTAGGTGTCCCCGACATGCTGTTATCGTGACCCTGAAACCCTGTGCAGGGACACTCATTCCAGAACATGAGCAATACAGTCCCTCCATCCAGGGTCCACATACATCAGACGACGGCGATGGCAAGGTGCACCGGTCCCAGATTGTGCTTTGCCATGCTTGGCGAGAGTGCTCGATGCCAGTGCAGCCAGTAGGGCCCACAGTAGGTGTCCCCGACATGCTGCTTTTGTGACCCTGAAACCCTGTGCCGGGGCACTCATTCCAGAACATGAGCAATGCAGTCCCTCTCTCCAGGGTCCACATACATCGGACGGCGATGGCAAGGTGCACCGGTCCCAGATTGTGCTTTGTCATGCTTGGCGAGAGTGCTCGATGCCACTGCAGCCAGTAGGGAACGTCTTGGACCCACAGCAGGTGTCCCCGACATGCTGTTTTCGTGACCCTGAAACAATGTGCCGGGACACTCATGTATTTGCGGCTGGATTTGGACGGGCGGGGTCAAATCCAGCCAACAATATGGTTAAGAACATGAGTACCCGTTTTCTTAACACTGTCTCCACATGGATTTGGGCCTACCCAGACCCCAATGCTCCAAATCCATGTGGAAAAGGGTGCTAAGAAAATGAGTAATTACTCGTTTTCTTAACCTTGTCTCCACATGGATTTGGGCCCGCCCAGACCCCAATGCTCCAAATTCATGTGGAAAAGGGTGCTAAGAAAATGAATACTCGTTTTCTTAGCCTTATTGACGGATGGATTTGGAGCATTGGGGTCTGGGCGGGCCCAAATCCATGTGGAGACAGTGCTAAGAAAAGGAGTTGTCATTTTCTTAACTGTATTGAGGGTGATTGGGGCTTCAGCAACCAGCAATCCTTAGAAGATACATGTATGCCACTACTTGAAGAAATCAGTCCTCATTTCCCTCCACAAGAAATCAGAGCCCCGGACAAGCACACAGTTAAGAAAATAGGTTCCGAACGTCAGAGGGCACTCAGTTTCTTAGTTAGAAGAGGCAGTGAAAATGCATATTTCTGGAACATCCAGAGCACTGGTGTTCTTAGCCAGTGTTTTCTTAAACAGAGCCGGCACTGTAGTAGTAGTAGTAGTAGTAGTAGTAGTAGTAGTAGTAGTAGTAGCAGTAGCAGTAGCAGGGGCAGGGGCAGCGGCAGTGGCAGTAGCAGTAGCAGTAGCAGGAGTTGTAGCAGCAGCAGTAGCAGTAATAGCTGTAGTAGCAGAAGCAGCAGTAGCAGCAGCAGAAGTAGTCAGCAGCACTTGTACCAGTAGAACTATTTTCAAGCCGGAGTTGCGGTCTTCGTAGTTCGTCGTTTTCGTCATCACTGTCGTCGGGGTTGTCGCTGTCATTATCGCCGTCGTGCTCTGACACCAGTTCTGGTGAGGACAATGCCATGACGTTGCCATAGTAACAGTGCGCTGTTCTCCAGGAGGATCACCACCTGTCAAAGTACTGGAGAACGATACTGTTCGCAGCCACAAGCCTCAAGAATGATAGTCAGCAGGAGCTGTACGAATCGTTACACCTTTGAAGGCCAAAACCCTAAAGCCCTGAAACCCTAATCAGTAACGCCTAAGCCCATGAGCCCGAAACCCTGAAAGTTCAAAATGGGAGTTTCCAAAAATAGGGGGACCCTGCCTAAATAATGCAATCCCGATCTCAAAACAAGGTACCCCGAATCTGCGGAAACTTCAAACTCTTGAAGCTGTGAAATTCTAAGCCCCCAGCCTCAAACTCCGAAGCGCCAGCTTGCAGGTTCTGATGACCACGACTTTCGTGCGAACCTTGTTTCTGATTTTGCCACAAGGCTGCATCATTCTTGGAGTTTTAAAAGCTTACTATAGGGGCCTAAATAACCACCAATACTGTTTTGAAAGTTCCATGTTGTAGTTCTACGTAGTGTAATGGGCCCCAAACCCTATTCTAGTTATTAAGGCCCCTATATCAGGGAGTATATTGTTAGGGTTTGGCTGGGTGAACCGGTAGTAGTTTCATACCTGTGGTAAGGACTTCCCTTCCGCATGGCACTGCTCCCTGCGCTTTGTCCTCCTCTACGGCCCCAGAGGACCACAAGAGAGCCCAAAACTCTTGTATAATTTGTATCACAGACCTTAAACCATACGATTCAGGCCCCTATAGTTTCAGGTTTATTCCTCATTTAAAGGGTGTTGGGATCTCTGGGGTTTTAATATGTAAACCTAACAGCTTTGAACCTTGTGCACGGGATGGCATGAATCGTGATGTTTCTGCGAAAGCACCTTAAACTCTAAACTCTAAATTCTAAACCTTAAACTCCCTAAACCTTAAACTCTTTGTGACATGGCTGTAGCTTAGTGCTTTCGGGAGTCGCTCCTGGTTGGGCGTTTCGTGCGTGCAGGTAGCACTCGGAGGTTCATGTGGGTGGTTGTCAAAATTCTGGTCCCTTTTGGGGTTCCTATTATAGTACGGCCCCTAATATTTAGGGTGCCCAAAACTGGACTATAATTTTGACAACCACCCATGTGTAGTTATACGCGCTAGGACTTAGAGTTGGGCCCCTTATTCCCTTTTTAGGGTTCAGGTTCCCTTTGAGCCGTTTTGAACCCAAAAAGGGCACACTTTTTTATTCCTAGGTCACTCTTGGGTCTAGAGTGGGGTTATACGTCCGTTAGTATGGGGTATACGTATAGTTACCCTACGTATAACCCCACTTATAAATACCCATGAACCTGCAAGTAGCATAGTCACTTCAGGCGGGCATGCCCTCTGTTGCTCATGCCGGCATGTACATAGCCTTAAACCCTAAACCCGAAACAGCGCTGCCCTGTTGAGGAATATTCCTTGAGACACCATAGACCCTCAAACCCAACAAGAGCATGTCCTGGAAGCTGTTTCAGCATATGTTACTCAAGATGCCCATCACCCTTGAACACGAGCGTACAGCGAATCTAGCTGTTCTCACCCCGAAAACCTAGGCTTGTTTTACCGCCTTGACTGTTCTTGTTCGGTCTTTTTATCGTGGTAGTTTCAACTAGCAAGCTCCATAAACGTGAGGTTTAGGCTTTAGGGTTTACGCAGTGGAATTAGGGTTTTTGGCACTCCGTACAGCCTCGTTTAGGTTTCAAGGGTTGCAAGACGGCACCCCGAGGAACGTCTGCGTGCTGGTCGGGATACTCATGTGCTCTTGGGCGCGCCTCGGCGTTGCAAGATTTGTATGTCGGGCTATTACCCTTCAATGCTTAATAGTGTACCATAGAAGCCTGAATACTATAAGGGCCTTAATAGTTACCTAGACTATTTTGGGGGCTCCTTGTTATAATCATAGTCTTAGTATAATGGGCCCCAAGACACTATACGGCCCTATGTTGATTGGACAAGGGCTCGGGGCTTCAATTTAAGCAGATTGCACGAGTCCGAGGCCAGGAGATGTGCCGAGTACAAACTACAAGTCACGAGTGCAAAAAGAAGCGAAAGCACGACGCAACGGGTTTCGGGATCTGAGGCCTAGGGCTTAGGGAGTTCAGGGTTCAGGATTTAGGGTTTAGGGTTTAGGGGTTTAGGGTGTAATGTAGGAACCTGAGTAAGAAACCTTGCGCGGCATTTATTAGGGTTCCTAATATGGACCCAGCTATTTTGGGGTTATAGGCCCAGGGTTTCTTAATCAGGTTCCTACATTACCGTAATGCCCTCAACCTGAAACCCAAAGCCCTGAACGGCCCTGAACCCCTAAAGTACCCGTATGGATCCCTAAACCCTCAACCCTAACCCCCTAAACCGTAAACCCTAAACCCTACACCCGTATCCCTAAGCCCAGAGATCCCGTCTAGAAAGGAACCTTTTATACTAAACCGTTTTAGGGTTTAGGGTTGTTTAGGGCTTAGGGGTTTAGGGTTTAGGGCATCCCATGGTCCTCTGAGTCACGCCGTTCCTTTCAAGAAGCCCTGAACACTAAACGCTGGAGGCGGCGCGGGAGCAATTTGAGGGCCTGTGTGTCAAGGATCATGAAGCATGGCAACGAAGAGGGCATGTGGAAGAAGGTCGAGAAGCACATGCCGGACAGAGAGCACGGTCATGGGAAGGGCCTGAAGAAGCGCAGGGTCAAGAGAGACATGACGGGGGACCTCGAAAGTGACAACCCCTTCACCAGAGTGCAGAAAGGAGACCCAGCGCGTAGCGTCCAACCAAGTAGTTGCAGACTGTGGCCGAGTAGGCAGGAGAGCATCCGACACATCGAAGGAACGGGCTGCCTGCCCCGCAGTAACTCGAACAACATCGCCTGGACGAAGCTGGTGTGCCTGTACAGTTTGACAGTGCTCCTATTTGGGGTACTATACTTGGAGGTTCATGGGTAGATATAAGTAGGGTGATAAGTAGGGTAACTGTAAGTATAACCCATATTAGGGGGATGACTTATAACCCCACTTATAACTACCCACGAACCTTGAAGCAGGCCCTAAATCCTCTACTCTTAAAGAAACCCTCTAGATCCCCTCAAAGGGACCCATAAAGAAAAACCCAACCCCCAAGTAAGGGTTGGATAGGGTTCGAGGGACTTCACAAGCACGGCTTTGGTCTCTTGGGCTGCTCCAAAACCCAAACCCTTTATAGTAGAAGCCCGAAAGTTGGAAACCCAACAGCGTCAACCCTTAAGAGTAATATAAAGAGAATCCCAGCACTATTTGGCCTTGATCCGGTTTACAACTTTATGAGGCTTACTGTAACCCCCAAACCTTCAACTACTCGGAGGGTCGGGGGACTTAACCTATGCACTTATAGGTACCTTAACCCCAATCAGGATCACTTTTAAGGGACTTATATCCCTACTACGTACTTACTCAGTAAGTCTGCCGACCCTCCAAGCAAACCCTTAAACCCCCAAACCTTCAGCTACGAAGAAGATGCTACAGGGTGATGTTGAGGGATTTTTCAATTTGTTTTTTCGAAATTACGGGACACCCTGTACAGACCCAAAACCCCAAACCGAACCCTGCACCCCCAAAACCTAAACCCAAAACCCCAAACCCTAAGTCCCACTGCATGTGAAAAAGCCCGAACCCCCAAACCTCTAAACCCCAAATCCCAAACCTTAAAGCCTCAACCCTAAACGCCCAAACCCTAAACCCCCACGAACCCAAAGCTCGTCGGCCCGAGGAGTAATGAAGAGTACCTGGGGCGATTTGGGATGACTCTGGGCAGCCAAATCCTCCTGGGAGTCGTGTTTCCCTCCGACTGGTCCGTGCGGACGTCACTGTGTCGCTGGGATCTTCAACAATATGCTTTGTAGCGTGTAATACAGAAGGCTGAATCATTAGGAATACTTTTCCCCAGGGTTCTTTCTAGTATGTACCCCAACTCGCAGTTCCAGTTGCTAAGGCCCGAAACCCTAAACCCTATACCCCAAACCGCGCCAAGGCCCTAAACCCTAGAGCCCCAAGCCCTAAACCTTGATTCCAAGTCTTAGCAGCTGAGTAGGTAACCTTTAACCTTTTGGGGTTTATATAATCCTACCATAATTCAAAAGGTTAACCTTTTTTTGGCTAGGATACTGGGCCCCTAAGAAGTACAACTTCAAGGTTCATGGGCAGAGAGACTTCTCGGACCGGGAGCATGCCTTACCTTAAAGGAGGGACCCTTAATGGGGACCCCTACCCTACAAAGGACTATATAATGGGTACATAATAGCTATATGAAGGGTATATACCTAGGGGTCCTTATTGAGGGTCCCTCCTTTTCACCATTGGATTAGCTATTTCAAGCATCAAGGGGCTTAGTATAACGGCTTATAGCCAGAATTAAGATACCTGGTGTATCCTACTACCGCCATATAGGGACTAGAGATGAATAGTATTCGTACTCATTCTGGTCCCGGGAATCCTAAACCCCCAAATCCAGCGACGCAAGGTTATGCAGCGGCTTTCATCTTCAGCTTCACGCAGGTGCACCGCGGCTGAGGCATAACCCTACTTGGAGGGCCGGGGGACTTGGTAAGTAGGTAGTAAGTAGACTTATAAGTACCCTAAAGGGGATCCTAACTGGGGTTATGGTACTTATAACTCCCTAAAATAACCAGTTACTACGTCCCCCGACCCTCCAAGTATACGCTAAAGCCCGAGATCTTGAACCATCCTAAACCAGAACGCCTTCTGAAGCGTCCGAGCCTCAGGACAAAGGCTTTAGGGTTTAGGATATTAGGCACTGAAACATAACAGCAGTTTGATCAATGCATAGTAGCATTTCGTGTTAGTGCTTGGATAAATGTTAATTGCATTTTCGCCCCAGACCCCATTGCAATGATGAAGGCCCCTACTATATAGAAGGTTGTCAAAATTCTGGTCCCTTTTTGGGTCCCGATTATAATACGGCACCCAATAATTAGGGTACCCCCAACAAGGGCCATAAGTTTGACAACCACCCATATATTAAGCCTTTGGCTGCCAGGGATTTGGGAGTTTCCGAAAATTGGGGGTTCCTTCAAGGGATCCTTTAAAGGCCTCCTTAAAGGGATCTGTCAGGGTTCTATAAAGGGTTTAGGGTTTAGAGTTTCCGAAAATTGGGGTACCGTATTTGGGGGATCCTTATACTGTTACAGGTACTAGATTAGGGTCCCGTATTTTCGGAATCTCCGATTTCGGTTCTGCGTTTATCTCTGGGTTTTGGCTCTTTGGTGTTGTGTGCATCCCCGGGCAATTTATGGGTTCTCTTCGCGTTCGATAACCTAGACCCTGAGCCCTGGGTATATACGGGTATTGTCTGGGCCATGGGATGTCCTTTGGGGTTTTGCAGGGCAAGCTGAAACTTGCCCTGTGAAACAAAGCTTTTAGGCAGGCCTTTGGGAGATTTTTAAACTCCCCTTAGTGGGCCTGACAGGATCTTACCTACGAATGTTTTCCAAAGGCTTGACAGAGCCAACCTCGCTGAGTCCCAAATCCTAAACCTTCCACCCGAATCCTGCTTCTGGTGCTTACGGTTTAAGGGTTTAGGGTTTAGGGTTTAGGGTTCTGTCACTGGTGATAATCTCCGCTAGAACGGCGCCCTCAGCCCTGATTCTAAGACCCTAAACCTTAAACCCCAAACCGGAACCCTTGGAAGGAAGCCGTACGCAGAGGCTCCAAATCCCTTTGCTGAAGGAATATGCATAAAGTTGTAATCGGAAACCTAATACAATTTAAGGTCTACAACTTAATGAAGGGGTTTTGGAGTCTCTGGGTAAAGGATGCCCTTGAGGATCTCTTCCAAGCTCCCATCCCTAACCCCGAAACCCTACACCCTAAACCGACATCAAGAATGCGTGGCCTCGACACTGTAGGTACTGTTGATGATTTAAATCCTGCATGACCTTAAGGACCCTAAACTATGGGAATTACGGCATCTTCCGCCTTGTGGGTAATGCAGGATTTATATCATCAACCGGTAGCAGAGAGCCTGAACACAAACCCTGAACCCAGAGATTCCAAAACGAATACGGAAGATACCTTGGACTATAGTAGGAAGCCTGCTATGATTTACGGCATAGTCCTTAATTCCCTTATCGATCCCTTTACAGATGGCTTCAAGGAGCCCGAAAAGGGTATATTCCTTAACTAAGGGAATTTTTGAGTCTCTGGCAACTCTTACCTGGTAATAGAGTAGGTAACCTTTAACCTTTTCTGGGTAGTATAGTCCCTATAGAATTCCCATATAACCAAAAAGGTTAACCTTTAGTTCCCCGTGATAGCCGACAAGTAGGCCTAAACCCTAAACCCAGGCATGGCAGCCAGGCGATGAAGCTTGGCCTGTCTCAGGAGTTCTGCTTTTATTTCAAAATCTAGAACCTCATAAGCCCCTTTAAACCAAAAATGGCACCTTTTTATTCCTAGTAGGTCCTGTTTTATTTAAATTAAACATGGGATTTTCGCCTCCGCCCGAGCGTTACCATGCACTCACATGGGTTCCTCCCGTACTGCGTCTTCCAGTACAACAATCTCTAGGTAGGCCTTTGGGACATTTTCTATTTTCCCGTTGTGGATTTAGGAGGATACTACTTACGACCCTAAACCCTAAACCCTAGGGCCAAACTAGATCTTCTCCAGCCTGGAATTCGCGCACACTCTCGTCTCTTAAGGCCGGCAGAGTATCCATGCCCGAACCGTGCTTGTGGGTAGTTATGAGTGGACTTATATCAGTAGGGGAATTATAGTTATAACCCGTATTAGGGGACTTATAATCTTACTTATAACTACCCATGAACCTCGAAGTGATAGCGTCCACTCCGACACCATGCATGCCTGCGGAGCATCCCGGCCGGAACCGTGATAGCGTCCACTCCGCCCTCGTGCTTTGGGGCTTTCATCTGGCCTTTAACGGCTTTATGATGGGATGATTTTCTTTCTAAAGTTTTTCCACAAAACGCCCCTTCGTACTGTGTTCTACAGTAGTTCCAGTTTTCCGTACAGCAAACAGTGTCACAAAGTGCAGATAGACGTCCTGGCGCAGTGTTTCGAGTTTAGGGTTTTGGGTTCTGCGCAGTAGGGTTTCCAAGGTTAATTGGAGTTATTAAGTTTCATGTTTTACAATGGGGCCTTGCCGAAACGGGAGAATGCGATTGTTTGAGTCAGGGCTTCAAGACTTTTTGGGTTTCGGAGTCCGGCTTCATGGTTTAAGTGAAATTCAGGCTCTTTGGGTTTCCAGATTTGGTCGTGGCTCCCCCTTGCACGGCACAGTATAGAACGGCCTTCGGGTTTGGGCTGGAGGTGATGGATGTGCAGTAACGGGTTGAGGGAATGTGCATCCCCAAACCCGGTTGTGATTATCAAATGCCACTATGTTGCGTTTCATGAAGCCCGGAAAAGGCGTATAAGACCCCATGAACATAAGCAGAAACTCGTAGCACCTCATAAACACAGTGTTGTACATAAGAAGCCCCGTATACTTGGCATCTAGAAACTCTAAACCCCAATCCCTGAGCACTAAACATTCAACCCCCAATCCTCAATCCCTAAACCTCAATCCCTTAAACCCTAAACCCCTAAGCCCTAAACCCTAAACCCGAAGCCCTAGGCCCTATACCCTAAACTCGAAACCCTAAGCCCCAACCCCTTCAGCAACTAGGTTACCTGTCTAGAGCTCTGGAGTCCCGAGGCGCCACGTTCAGTGGGTCTTGGGGAGTTGAGGGTTCTGTTGCCAACGGACAGTGACGCTAGATACCCACCCTCCTAAGCCCTAAACCCAAAACCCTAAACCCTAAACCCACCCCCCACCCCCCTAAACCCTAAACGATTTCCCAAGCCGGGTGCGAGGGTCCAGGACCTGTAAACTCGGAACTGCTTAAGCTGCTGCCAAGGAACGCGTGGTTCTTCATCCAGCAAACCTTCCAGCTCGGCATTTCCAATGCCACTCGCCAGAGCAACCCTAAGCCCTAAATCCGAAGCCTAAGCTAAGCCCTATACCCTAATCCCGACATCTTGAACCCTAAGCCGCGAACCCTTTTATATACTTAAAACGGCGAAACCCTGATCCCAAACCAACCAAATTAGACATTCAGCCCTAAATCAAACCACTTGTTGTGGTTGCGGCTAGTATGTAGTTTGCCCGTTATGCTTTTATAAAACACGGCTTACACTGTAATCATTATTGTGGTTAAATCGTGTTACCCTTACCTACTATTACTACTTTTGTGTTTGTTCTCATTCTTATGACGATGGTTATTTTTGTTTTGTGATTATTTGGATTGTGATTTGGATTCCATTATCATGATCTTAATTATTGGAATACTCTGACTGTTTTTTTATGTTCTATTCCCGTCCAAATGTTGTTCTCAGTCTTATTGCTGTTCTTATGCGTATTCTGGTTCTTAATCTTAACATCACTATGGTGATCATCATAATAATACTTATTATTGCCATTATTCCTCTTAAGATTGTTCTCGTTGTTATTACCACTATCACTACCAGCTCACCCCCAAACGCTGAACCGTCAGGAAATTCGGGCTGCAGTGCGGATCCACCTGCCTTAAATCCTGGACCCTAAACCTCAAGACCTAATATGGGGGCCTGAATAATTACCGATACTATTTTGGGGGTTCCTTATTATAACTATAGTATCATGGGCCCAAAACAGATTTTTTCATTATCAAGGTCCCTACATTAATTTCAGTAGAGCTTTGCACGACGCAATTCAGAAAGCCACGAGCAACTCAACACCTTCAGTATATAAGTTGAGGTCTAAGCCTGAACTTCGAAACCCAATTTCCTAAACCCTAAACCCTAATCCCCCCAAACCGCAAGCCAAAGGTCATTCCGCATTTCATTGATACCATCATCCGGCGTCAGATCGCTGCATCTTGTGAGTCGGAAGACTCAGACTCGCTGATAGTTGGGCGCCTTGGCATGGCCGATAAGTAAAGTAAGTATAGTTACTTGCAGGTTTAGGGGGAGTTATAAGTAGAGTTATAAGTCCCCTGATATGGGTTATAAGTGCAGCTACCCTACTTACAAACCCACTTATAACTACCCATGAACTTCCAAGTATATCTACTTACAACCCCAATTAAGGTACTGATGACCCCACTTACAAAGTGCCATGATCCTCCAAGTAGGTCGCCTTGAGGGTTTCAGGCTCGAAAGGTTCTGGTTTCGGATATCGGGTGTACTTGGAGGGTCGGGGGACTTAGTAAGTAGGTAGTCAGTAGACTTAAGTACCCTAAGAGGGACCCTTAATTGGGGTTATGATACTTATAAGTCTATAAAATGATCAGTTGCTAAGTCCCCGACCCTCCAAGTCGGGTTTCGGCTTGAGGGTTCATGTTTTGAGCTTGGGAGCGTCAGGGTTGCAAGTGTCTGGGGCTTCATCATTTTCGCGAGGATTGCCCGCACAGATGTACTCTGCATCTTCTGACGAGAACCTTCAGAACTCATATGTTTTAATCGCGAGCGGCAGCCGTCGTGGCATTGGCCTGCTGCACTGAGGTGCTTCTGTCACAGTTGCATGCATCCCAATGCTGTAATGCTAGGGAAACATGCATCAACGTCATCAATATGCGCATGACAAACTGTCGTCGCCGTCATCATCGTCGTCCTTCGCCTCCTCGTCGTGGTCATCATATTCACCACCATCATCGACCATCATCATCATCATCATCTTCATCATCATCACCATCATCACCATCACCATCATCCCCATCATCATCATCATCATCATCACCGTCATCGCCATCATCATCACCATCATCGTCATCATCATCGCCATCCTCGGCACCGTCACAGTCTGCACGGTTATCTCCGGCATCACCGTCATCACCAAGACCAGCATCGCGGAATGGTGATGGAGAAAAGCGATATCGCGGCTGCGATCATGTTCGTGGTGGTGATGATGATCGTCATTTCGAAGTTTCAGAAAACCCAGACAGCCAACGATTCCTTGATTGAAGAATAGACCTTAAGCCTGGCCGTGGCACTTTTTAACTTGCTGTATTGGCCTCTCTGGGAAAAAGGGTTCCTTGTACATAGCAATGCAGGAATTAAGTCATGTTCTACAACTATAAATTAATGATAATATTCTACAGCGAAATTCCTGCATTGCAATCATCTCCTAGTTTCGTGTGTTGCTTTTGAGCTCCGACCCTCTACCCCAAGTCGAAGGCTCTATACCCAGCGCCATAAAGCAGAAACCCTAAACCCAAATCCAAAATCCGAAACCCTAAACCCTAAGCGCTTACAGCCACTTATAAGTATAGTTAAAGTGTTCAGAACCGTAGTTGCTAAGTCCCATGAGCCTCTAAGGAAACTGCAAGCCGAGGTTCCGTCGAATGCTTCGAGGCATTTGTGATGGAGACCTCCTGCTGGATGGTGGCCTGACCTTAGATGTTAGAATGGCGGCGTTTTCAAATCGGCTGTTTTTGGGTTCAGCCGAATCGCCGCGATTTGGATGGGTATGTATAGAGCGTATAAAGTAGGAGTTGCCGATGTGATCTGACTCGTTTAGGGTTTAGGGTTTCAGGTGTAGGGGCCCGCAAGGATACCTCGAGTCTATGATGTCGGCCATCAGACATCTCTCATCCAAATATCTTGAATTCTACTTCTCGAGTTCCGTTGAGGGAAGGATGCGCTGAAAGCCATACCCTCTTAGTCTCAACCTGCTCCCCACAGATCAGATCCCTCAACCCTCAAGCCCTGAACATCTACGGAGTAGCTGAGTGGATAGACTCTGCACTTTCTGGGATAATACTGAACAACCCACTATAAAACCCAAAGTGTACACGTTTTGGGGCTTATGAACTCAGCAACTATGTCTAGAAACTCTAAACCCCAGTCCTTGACACTAAACATCAAACCCCAATCCTCAATCCCGAAACCCCAATCCCTTCCCCGAAGCCCTATACGCCCTGAACCCTCGTCTAAACCCTAAGCCCTAAACCCTAAACCCAAAACCCAAAACCTTACACCCCAACCCCTAAGCCCAACACCTGAACTTGCTTCTGTGGCTTTCCCGAGGAGACCTGGAGTAGGCCCTTATTCCCTTTTTCTAGGGTTCAGGTTCCCTTATAAGCCCCTTGAAACCAAAAAGGGCACCCTTTTTATTCCTAGGGTACTCTTGGGTCTAGTTATGGGGGTTCCTTTAAGGGTCCCGTGAAAGGGATCTATATGGATTCTATAAGTTCCCGAGGAGACCTGAAGATTTGCGGCAGCTGTTCGTGCCTACAGCGACTCTTCGCCTCGAAGGCGCCAGCGATTCCCAGAGGGCCTACCCTAAACCCCTGAACCCCAAACCCTGAACTCTTATAGCGCCTTTTAAAGGAGCCCAAACCCTAAACCCCAAACCCTAAGTCTAAAACCCTTGAAGCCCTAAACCCTAAAACCCTCAAAGCCCTAAACCCGAAACCCTAAACCCTATAATCCTAAACTCTTCCTAAACCCTAAAACCCTAAAGCCCTAAACCCGATATCCTGAACCCTAAACCCTAAAACCTTAAACCCCAAACCCTCAAAGCCCTAAACCCTAAACCCTAAAGCCCTAAACCCAAAACCCTCAAAGCCCTAAACCCTAAGCCCCTCAAGCCCTAAAACCTAAACCCTATAGCCTTCAAAGCCCTAAACCCTAAACCCTAACCCTTAAACCCTAACCCCTAAACCCTGAAGCCCTAACCCCTAAATCCTAAAGCCTTAAACCCTAAATCCTAAAGCTCTGAACAACTGGAAAGGTATGACGTAGGACCTGTACAGAGCAGTCATTGCTACCATTTCCGCAGCAAGGACACGTGCCCGAGATTCCCAAAGCCAAGAGGTAGAAACATGAAGTGCGGAAGCCATCTCCTCTTCCTTGTTCTGCTACTTGGTAGCGGAGCATGGTCAGGTCGCCTTTGTGCACCGGACTATGCTCCGAGACCAGTGCAGTGGGATCGACGCCTAAGGCGCAGACATTTTTATCTTCTACGTCTCCAAGCATGTCAGGTGAAGCATTGGATGGGCAAGCCATGGTTCGGTTGGGCATCCTTTAAGGAAGCTCATTCCATTCATTGCGATGAACCTGGAGGTGCAAACGTGACGGCGAATTCGGGATCCAGGGACCCAGCAGTTCAAGGATGTCTTTTCTTTGAGTCTGGACCGGGACGCACGCCAGTACAGTCAACGCAACCGGACCGGACTGTGGATGGACTTTGGGATGTGAGTAAGAGGAGCGACAGTGGACAGGTCAGCGGCAACGCTTCCTTGCCCACTGTCCCTCCCAGCAACCCGGACTTGTCGACGACGTCGGATCAGAAGATGCGACGCTACGACGGTGACGAGCGTGACGAGACTTGCACGAGTGACGACAGCATGGACACTGAAGCATCTGCCCACCCGCGCCGAGCTGTCAGCAACCGTTGTGATATTGCTCATGCAGTGATCAGACAGTGGTTGTGGGCGTTGGTCCTGTGATTCTGGTAGGACTCAGTGAACAAACATCTCTGCCAGAGGAAACGCCACAGGATGTGCCTACCATCGAGGCTCAACCTGCCGTTGAGTCGGGCCCAACTTCCCACCGTGCCAGTGTTGTTCATAGCTTTCTGGGTCATCTGGGTGTTAGTGGCATGCAAGGCTTAGCGATGTTGGGTTTAGGCCTTATAATCCTCACCCACCTCGCAAGTGCCGCCTGCATGATGCATTTCAGCTCCGGTTCCAGTGTTCGCAACCCTCCCTTGTGGGGACCGGAGATGCAAGAGCACTATGCATTCCGTGCCTGGACTCATGACGTGCTTGTGTGGAGTGTAGCGTGTGATGCAGATCCAGCACGAAAGGCTGCAATGCTCGCTATGTCGCTCAGAGGAACGGCATATGAGTATGTACGAACATTGCCGCCTATGGTGCTCATACAGGGCGGCCAGATTAACGGCCATGCTGTAGACCCACTCACTTTCCTCATGCACTCGTTGGCTGAAAGGTTTGGTACCCTAGGCGAGGAAATGCGCCTTACCAGCATAACTGATCTGTTCCATTTCAAGCGGAATGTAGCAGCAAACGAACGCATCGATGAAGTGATCACGCGGTTCGACATGTTGCGTCAGAGAGCATTTGATATGGGACAACTGACCATATCTGTGACCGGTCTTACATGGCTATTGCTCAGAGCATGTGAAGTAAGTGACACACAACTGCTACAACTTTTGGGTCCTCTCCAGGGTCGGTTCCCGCAGGATGAAGCAGAGTTTTCCGCCTTGAAGGTTCAATTAAGGAGAATGGGTCACATTTTGGAGCACTCACCGGGAAACATAGCAGCTTCATTGCGTGGACCTGGAGGCTCCCATCACAATCCAACCAGAGCTTACTTGGCAGAGGCGGGTGATGGCACTCAGCCACCCCAGCCGAATGCCGAGTCGTGGAATGAAGGTTGGTCTCCAGGCGCTGTCCCTACATGGCATGCATCGGATAGCTACAGCCATCCCACGACACAGGTCTGGTATGCTGAAGATTCTGAGAACGGCACCGATACAGACACAGCCTCCAGCAGTGGAGAGACAGTCATACCACAAGCGACGCCGGAAGGCGACACCGACCCACAAGCACTGACCGAGTATCTGTTTTGGGCCTACACGCGCGCAAAGGCAGCCTGGCGTAAGCACCTTCACAAGCCCACCCGTGCTGTAAGGCGCCACACACGCAGGTACATCTACTCTAGGTCAAAGGGCTCCAAGAACTCCAAGGGAAAAGGCTATAAAGGCAGACCAAATGTCAGCACTTTCCTAGCCGAACTCGGAGATGATGAAGTAGAGTATGTGTTTAAAGGCATGCGCAAGGGCAAGGGTAAAGGGAAGGCACACCGTAGCACAGGGAAAGGTAAGGGTCGTAAATCAAATCCTAAGGGTCGTGATGGACAGACTCTCAGATGCTTTCGCTGCGGTTCTGAAGCGCACCTGTCGCGCGAATGCCACTTGCCCCGCACAGATACACATGCCAGCAGAACACAGTCACAGCCTCCAAGCACCTTCTATGCATACACCCCTTCCTCAGCCGTGCCAGATGAAGGACCCCTGAGCGGTCTTATCTTCATGGCCTCGCCTGCCGAAGAAGGTGTCCCAGGTGCCGCAGAAACCGACAGTTCATGGTCCTATCCTTCTCAACCATCCGCAAGTGTCGCGCCCGATCCTTGGGCCACCTATCTCAGGCAGCAAGGTGCATTCAGGAGTCCTGCAGGTGGACCGAGTCCACCGTCTGCAGAACCCCGGTACGCCCAGCCACCATTCGTGAGCGCATCAGCAACCCCATCGGCAAACCGACCAGCCAGTGGGCCGGGTGAAGGTGTACCATATACCTTTTTGGGCCATGAGACACGAACGGCACGAATGATCGTGGAGGCACCTGCCCCATCCTTGCCAACATGGGTTCAACTGCCAGAGTTCGGTTATGTGTCTAGTGGGACGGTTCATAGGACTCCTGAACACACCCCGCTTCTTGCATCCAATGTGTCTTCCAATCTGGAAGGGCCCATGGCCACTCTCATCGACAACTTCGTCAGTGCAGGCCAAGCTGTGACACAGCGTTGGCTGGGAGACGAGGCAGTTAGCAGTGCCACTCCCGCCGCTGAGGTGCAGTCAAGCCTTGACGCAACGCATCAGCCGACGTTCAATGCCTTCAGTCAGGCTCAACAAACCATCGCAGGGAAGCCAGACGGCGCCAAAGGCGCATCATCCAGCTACCAGAGGCTGCAGATACGCAGCAGTACGACGCTGTGGACGACACATGCCCATTGTGCCGGGAGGTGTACTTGGAGCGTGACTCGGTGGTTCGGCTCATCTGCAGGCATCTTTATCATACTCAATGTTGGGCCTCATATCTGATGCATGACAGGGCTCAGATGCATTGTCCAGTATGTCGGGGAAGTGCACGTGTGATAGCACGTTTCAGCTATGTGCCTGCATACGAAGTTGAGTCAGAACTCCAGACTCGCCCTCCATCCGAAGAGGGTGCAGGACGCTCGGAAGATGCATCCAATGCCGAAAGTCCAGGAACCCGGACACCGCCCAGGCGGCCCGCAAATCATGACATGTCGACTCCTCCAACTGGAGAACAGCGCGAAACTGAAGACCCGGAGAGCCCGTATAATCACTTCGCGCAGTTTGAGTCATTTCCATGGTGGCCAGCAACCAACCCTGACAACTGCGGCGCTGGATCAGAGGCTAAGCCTGAAACATGTGTGGTGCTCCACCAAACCACCCAAGCGCCAGACTGTTCAGCATTGCTGGTGGATCCAGGTGCCTTCACTAATCTAGCAGGGTTGGATTGGGTTAGGCGTATGTCGTTGTCTTGCTTGCAGCACGGATTGAGGCCAAGTCAGCAAAAGCTTGCGCAACCTCTTCACATCCAAGGTGTGGGACATGGACATCAGCAGTGCATATGGAGTGCCAGGATCCCCATTGCCACGCCTTGTGTGATCGACGGAGAGGAACGCTCCTCTCGTCATTTCTTTGAGGCGCCTGTGGTTGGCGGGCCAGGTGCAGGCCTACCCGCCCTGCTTGGTCTGAAATCTCTCCGCGAAAAAGGCGCAATCCTGGTCATGTCACCGAAGGATGATGAGCTTCGGCTCATCGTGCCAGGCCCTGCAGGCTGTAAGGTGAAATTATGCCCAGGCACCATTGAGTATCCTCTCTTCACTTCGCCAAGCGGTCATCTGCTCCTACGTTGTGATCAGTTCCAGAATACCAAAGAAGGCAGCCTTGGCTCCACTCGGCTGGTGTTCACAGCAGGTGAGCAGGATGACGAACAGCACAGCTCCCCGGCAGCCGCTACTGCTTTCTTTCCTCACGGACTGGATGTAGTGCTCAACCAAGGACCCGTAGCAGGATCTAGTTCAGATTTTCCACCGGTGTCCGAAGTGGTCGCGTAGGGCACTTGTCTACCTCCCCTAGCCTTGAGACTCAACCTGACAGTGAAGCACAGGCTCTAAAGCTGTGTTCTACAAATGATTGCAGCCATCGTAGTTGCCTAAACCTGTTGCAACAATTGCGACTGCCTCGTCATGAAAGCAGTCGATCTGCTATGAGTGCAGCGGGGCAGGTTGAGGCAGGCGCCTTCGGACTATATGCATATGGTTCTATGGTCGGGTTAACATCGTTAACGCACAGACACCCACAAGTCTGCAAGTTTCTCAACAGTTACCTACGAGCACTGGCCCCTGATGATACTTGGACCTCCATCTTTGTAAACAAAAATGGTCCAGTAGCAGTGCACCAAGACAATCACAATAGGCAGCTTAGTCTCAATCTGACCATTAGCCTCGGCAGTTTCACAGGAGGAGACCTGTGGCTGGAGTTGGGGCCGGATCAGGAAGTGCCTCCTACACAAGCTGTTCAGCGGCGTAAGCCAAACGGCCAGCTCATATATGGGCAGCTCCTAAGCACGCACCAGCGACTGGTACGTTTCAATCCCAAGCTCATGCATGCGGTGCAGCCCTGGACTGGGGAACGCATCTCCATCAGCGCTTACACCAGTCGCAGTCTTGATCAGGCAGATGAGAGCATGAAGAGGCACATGAGGCGCTTACTTTTCCCCCTGCCACCCAGTCGGGTGACAGTGGCAGTAGCCTCGCCAAGCCTCTCTGATGTGCACGGTAAAGAGAATCACAGGTCTGTTGCTGCAGAGCATCCTGCATCCAGTACGGTGCTGCACACTCCATCTGTGCCAATCCGCTCTTCTCGTCTTGCCGTTGTAATTGAAGAACTCCCTGCAGTATCATTGGTGCTGCAAGGTGCCGGTTGGACAGTTGAGCATCTTCACCACAACCAAGTAAATTCCTCTGCCACCTCCGAGTTGGCACGTCGGTTGAAGGAAGGTAAGATACATGCTGTGTGGTCTGATATGCCACTGCCTGGTCGCCATGTTCCTCGTTGTCGGTTGTCCGCGCACATGACGCAGCTGTGTGTATGGATGCAGCTATGTGGCGAACTTGGTTGCATCGCCTGTCTCTTTGGAGCCTATGGTTCGCAATGGCTGAATCCCAGCGTCGCGGACTTAGTTGGCAGAGGCCAACTGGTGAAATCTTACCATCGGGCATGTGCCCTCGGTTTAAGGCTGAATGTCCAGCAAAAGGCCCCCAGTTCGACGTGTTTCGTTTCTGCCCACACAGGTGTGGAGCTGCCTGGCCACCCGTGTCGCTGCCCAGAGGCTCAAAATGCCCATGTGTTGGACTGGACCTCTAGCAAACTTCCTCATCAACGCCGCCTTCGAGGCCGCCTGCATAGTGCTGTCGCCACTGCAGTCGCACAACAATGGGTTCAAGGATCCGATTTAGGGGGCTCCAGGCCGGGGTATTTTCAGGCAAAGGTTCCCGGTTTCGAGGGGTCCAAACCGGGAAATTTACAGGCCCCACTTCCCGGTTTCGGGGCCTCCAAACCGGGAGATTTGCAGGCCCACGTCCCCGGTTTCGGGGGTTCCGACTCGGCGGATCCGGTTCCCGGTTTCGAAGGGCCCAAACCGGGTCAGACACCACTCAGACACAGCACACCCGACTCACAACAACATTGCAGCGCTTCGGCCGCTGCCACCTGTGGCAGCAGCCGACTTCCCCCTTCCCGTCTTGACCCGGGCGTTGGCGATCAGCCACCCCACTTACATGCCGTGCATGCTGCTGCTGATTCATCCGTTTCCGCGTCAGGCTTCTACCCAACAGAGGAGAGACTTCGGCAGAAGCAGCGCTTAAAGGCCATGAAGGACAGGGGTGAGACGCCCAAAACTCGCAAAATGGTTGTAGAAGATCACCATGATGACTGCGGCACTTGCCTTGACAGTCTCATTCCCCTGCTTCCCTCAGACTCCCCGGAGGAGAAGGCCCACCCGGCACATTTCACACTGCTTAAATGCACAGATCCGTTCCCGTTAGACTGGTTGGTAGGTTCCCAGGCGAAAGCAAGCCTCCCACCAGCGAACCCTAGGTGCTATTTAGCTGCAAACGCACAACAGGGAGTGGAAACGGTAATGCAGTGGCCGAGTGGCGTCGAGGACATTTGTGTGTACAGCGGAGGTGCTCATGACCTCGCTTACTGGGCCGTTCGCAGACACTACAGTTCAGGTGCATGTTTGGACATGTTGGTACAAGTAGATCCTAGTGACCAGCCTTCTGCAGTAGGCTTACTCCTCTACGTGTATCATCAGAAGCCTTTGCTCTTCATCATGTCGCCTAGCAGTGGTATCCATGCAAGTCCGACGGTCGCAGCTCTGACTGGCAGAATCGCTTTTGCACAGCACGAGTCAGGCAGGTATTTTGCATGCGAGCAGGTTTGTCCGACACAGCTGCCAGCTGTAGCACCGTGGCCGCAAGTACTTGCGCAACCAGGCGTGCTGCGCCAGGACGTGGCACTTCTTGCTGCGTCTCCGGCCCCTGCGGATCAACTGACCGTAACCCTATGGGCAAACCATGCGCTTCTGCTACAGCCACACCGCAGCACGAGCATCCCACCAGCCAGATTTCGAGATGCCCAAGCCTGGCCATGGTGGTTCGCCACTCGTGTCAGTGATGGTGCCTGTTTGGTCCGATGCCACCACCAGCTGACTGCACGCAATGCCTTGCAGATGTATCCTTCAGTCGGAGTGGGAGCGCCTAGCGATGTAACAGAAGACCCCCCAGGTCAAGAGCTTTGGCGAAAATGTCCAGGGTGTAGGGGGAAACAGGCTAAGTATGACAATCGCCATAATCGCATTCCCGGCCAGTGTAAATACCCTGACGAAGAGAAAATTGATTGGGCCTGCCCTGGTTGTAAGGCACATCGACCGCGCACCCATTCCACACACACCTACGATGAGCATTGCAGGTATGCCATCGTAGAAGAAAGACGTGGACACCCGCGGGCAGGCCGTCATCCGCGACCGCCAGCCCGCAAGGCACGCGATGACCCCACTGCCGACCTCCAGGCTCAGCTACCTGAAGATCAGGGCGATCTGGCTGCCGGGGAAGAGGCTGAGGCCGAGCTGCCCTCCTCTATCCCCCACACAAGCCCAGATGGAGTCAACTCTCCTGGCCTTGACGATGATAACCTCTTTCCCGAGCTGGACCTTCCGCAGTTGTCTCCAGCTGAGAAGGCCGCCGGTGCTGCCTCTGATGCTCGTGCCAGGTCTTCCCTAGAGCCCCCCGCCGAAGATAGTACACAACCCCGACGGCGTCGGGAGCAGCGGACAACGAAGGAGCAAGGCTCAGGGCAAGAGACTCCCTCGGATTGGTCTCGTTACGATGTATCTAGATCTCTGCGGGTACTAAGAGTAGGCAGTGACAATGCTGTACGGTTGGAGTTGCGCAAACTTCATCTACGGCTGTGGCACGCGTCCCGTCAATCTATGACTCAAATTCTCCGCGCAGCCGGTGTCAGCAACAGGGTTATCGAAATGATCCCAGACATAATCAACACCTGCCGTGAATGCCGGAAATGGGCCCGACCTGGCCCCAACACTCAACATGCCCTCACTGCCAGCCTTCGCTTCAACCAGCATGTAGAGGTTGACCTCCTGTTCTATCGCACTCACATCGTGCTGCACTTAATCTGCCGTGCTACACGTTGGCACGGGGGATGTGTAGTGCAAAGTAAGCAGGGCGAGGAACTGTTTGAGGCACTGCAAACCGCATGGATAGGCATCCACGGACCGATGGAAACCCTAGTGAGTGATGGTGAATCTGGTCTCTGGAGGGAGGAAATCGCAGGCCGCTTGAAGCGGCAGGGTGTCAACCTCAAGCCCAGAGCCCCTCAACAGCATGCGCGCTTCATTGAACGGCGAGGTGCTGTGCTCCGCGTAACCATGCATGTCATGCAAGAGCAACTGGATCGTGAGGGTTTGGTTTATACGTTCCCGTCGCTCTTAGCAGAGGCCATCTTTGCTGGCAATGCCTTGACTCACGTCGGGGGAAGCACGCCGTATCAGGCAGTGTACGGGCGCCAGCCCGCGATGCTGCCAGCTTTGGATGCACCAGATCACCAGGATCACGAATCGATTAGCGCAGCAGGCGACCGCCAGCGCGCCTCCATCCGCCATGCAGCCCTTCAAGCTATGATCCAGGCCACTAGCCTGGCACGTCTCAACAGGGCAGCACATACCCGCACGTCACCAGACAGCACCCGCGAATACCAAGCCGAAGACTTGGTGGACGTCTACCGAAAGCCCACTTCTAAGGATGCATCTGGTTGGGTAGGCCCATACCGGGTGGTTCGCTCAGAGCCCGGCCAAGTAGTGGTAAAGGTTAATGGAGTGGAACGCCCTTACCGAGCTCAAGACACAAGACATGCCTTGTTGATACTGCACGCTGAAAACCAAACCACAAGTTGGGAGGAGTGTTTTCGTGTAGTACAAGCAGCACTTCTTGAGTTGAAGGCAGGGCAATCCGCCCTATACCTCCTCACCGACAGCCCTTCTGGAGCTCCATCTTTGTCGCAGGCGGCTCGAAGCAGGCCTCAGGTTCTCCACGCCTTGGACCACATCTTTACAAGTTGTTGGCGTCTAGGAGAAACCAGTGGAGCACGCCTGGCCCGTGGGGCCAAGCACTTGAGCGCAGTGCCAGCTGCCAGCCACTCTACAGTTGTTTGGTGGTTTAAGGACATAGATGTAGATGTACGGTTTAGTAGCTTAGATCACACCAAGGTTGACTTGAGTAGTCTCATAGGTCCCGAATACCCTCGAGCGTTTGTGGTGCAGGCCCTGCACACAACCGACCAAGATGTCACCTTGGCCGATGTCTGCGACGAAGCGGCTACAATCACGCATGAGACGCTAGATCGTGACATGCAGCCAGACAGTGATCATGAGCGAACCAGCATCCATACACCTCAGGGCCCCCTCTCTGCAATTACAGAAGAAGCCACGGATGAGCCCGAGGAACTTCCAGAAGCTGAGCTGTCTGCTTTCCTGGCCAGTTGTACCAACTGCCCAGAAGTTGTGCAAAACACGATGGTGCAGATCTTCCAGCTCAGTCAGTCCGAACTGTTGGAAGAAGCTGAAGCCTTGAAGCAAGTAGGACCTGTAGTCTACGTAGACCCTAGCCCCTTGCCCGAAGCTGCAGTCGAGGATCCCGCGTGTCACTACCACCTTGCCGGTATAAGCCCTGCATCCTACGGTGAACTAGAAAATTGGGATGATGCCGGAAACGGCTACGTAGAGTTATGGTTCACTAGGGAATTCAGTAAGGTGATAGGTGATGAAAGTCTCCTTAGGGACCAGGAAACCTACGTCTTGCAAGTCTTTGCATCCGGTTTTAGGAATGCAGTGATCAAGCGAGAAAGTCATCTCTTGACTACACAAGAGCTGCAGGATCACGCAGCCGCAGTGCGGGCAGCTTCGGTCGAAGAACTTAGAATATGGGACAAATACAAATGCTTCAAAAGAGTACCGCGCGCTACAGCTCACAACATCATGGACAGCAAGGCAGTAGTCAAGTGGAAGGTCACCACCACTCCAAATGGCCAGACTAGCCGTATTCCTCGAGCTCGATTAGCATTACGGGGATTCAAAGATCTCCAAGCGAATGACATCGAGGCTCATGCTAGTACGGCATCGAGACTATCACAGCGCATGTTGTGCAGTGAAGTCGCGTGCAGGCCATCTTGGAAATTCGTGACAGTAGACGTAAACAAGGCATTCTTGCAGGGTATGTCCTATGATGAAATCCACAAGCTCACAGGCGAAACCGAACGAGAGGTACATTTCACGTTGCCTCACGGATGGGAGCATCACTTACGCAAGATACCAGGTTACGAAAATTTTTGCCCTAGGACTGAAGTCTTAAAATGCCTTAAGCCCGGGACCGGGTGCAAAGATGCACCTCGAGCGTTCAGTCTTAAACTTGCGACTTTCACTAGGTCAGAAAAGATAGGTTTGAGACCTTCAACTTACGACCCGGAGTTAGAGCTCAAGGTAACCGCCACCGGAATCCTTGTTCTTGTATTGGCAAAGCATGTCGACGACTTGAAAATTGCAGGTGAAGCCCCGGAAGTAGATGCCCTCATAAGCTACCTAGAGTCCGGATTCGGAAAATTGTCGTACCAGGAAGGCACTTTTACAAACTGTGGTTTGCAGCACATAAGAATGCCTGACGGTTCCGTTCAAATGAACCAGCACGAATACATCAACGCAATGCGTCCTATTCATCACCCCGAGCTTGCAGGCAGACGCAGTGATGAACCTTGCACTGCAGAAGTACACAGTCTTTTTCAATCCTTGCTAGGAGCAGTCGCATACTGTTTACTTTCGCAGTCATGGGCTGCCGTCTTTGTTGTGGCCCTACAACGCCGTACCACGAACCCTTTAAACCTGCACGTGAGACGCCTTAACCTTTTACTAAGAGCCCTCCAAAAGCAGAAAAGTTCCTTGGTTTTCCCCGCCATGACCTGTAAGCAGCATGTGTTGGTGTACTCGGACGCTTCGTTCGATAAGGAAACTGAAAATAAAGGGTATGGCATGCGCGGCACCGTGTTCTTGCGCATGGGCGCCCGCAATGGGCAGCCCTGCTGTCATTTACTCGAAGCCCAGTCGCAAAGCCTGAAGTTAGTGACCCGAAGTACCTTTGCCTCCGAAACCCTGGCTGCCGTAGGCGCCATAGATAACCTCACCCCGCTACTTCTGACGTTTGAAGAGTTCACAAAAGGTGCCCTAAGCCCTGCGCGCGCGCGGCAGCTTAGAGAGGTTGGTGGATTCGCTTTCAGCTCAGAACTGTGCATTGATGCCATGAACTTGTTCTACGCACTTACAGCGGCATACCCGCGCCTCCCGGCAGAGAAGACGCTGTTTGTCCACATCTCGTGGTTGCGAGACACGTTTCAAAGGGGAGTGCCTCGAACCGTATCCTGGTCAGATACCCGCGACATGGTCGCAGACGGGTTAACGAAGGGAAAGGTCGATCGTACGGCCCTCTTGGAAGCAATGCGGGGAGTGCTCCATGTCCGACATCCCAAGAAATCCCATGAAGGCAGCAAAGCTGCTTCGTCACCTGGCCCCAGTAGTTAAACTACACAGGGAACCCTATGCAAGTTGTACAGACACACATCTCGACGAGCACACCCGACTGGAAAGGTATGACGTAGGACCTGTACAGAGCAGTCATGTCTACCATTTCCGCAGCAAGGACACGTGCCCGAGATTCCCAAAGCCAAGAGGTAGAAACATGAAGTGCGGAAGCCATCTCCTCTTCCTTGTTCTGCTACTGAACAGGAGGACTTCGCCGGCCGCTGCTTCCTGGACCTCATTCAGGAAGACATGCGCGAGTCTTTCCAGACCTTCCTCAACTCTGAGGCCCTTCGAGGGTTTAGGGTTTAGGGTTTGGGGGTTAGGGTTTAGGGTTTAGTTCTAGGGTTTGGGGGTTTAGGGATTGGGGGTTTAGGGGTTTAGGGTTTAGGGTTTGGGGGTTTAGGGTTTAGGGGTTTAAGGTTTAGGAGACCTTCCTGAACTCTGAGGCCCTTTGAGGGTAGCTTGAGCGTCCCTGTAAGGGTTCCTTTAAGGAGTCCATCCATTAAGGGATCTATAAGGGTTTAGGGTCCGGTTGCAGGCTTCTTTTAGGGGTTTAGGGTTTAGCATTCACGGACAAGCGTACGTTGAGGGCTAGGGGTTAAAGGTCAAGGTTACCTTTGCACCTTCACGGGTTATGGTTAGGGTTCGGTTACAAGGGTTTTCAGGGTTCCTCTTAAGGACTCCCGTGCGGTTTAAGGGTTCCTCTGACTGGGTTCTGCTGCGACCTGTTGCGAAAAGGAACCACTCTGAACTAAAGGCTTTACATTGTTTCTTCTTGGTTACTTCAACAGCTAGGTATGGGTCCTCTGAAGGTTTGAGTCAAAAACTTGGTGCTAGATTAGCTAGCTTTCAGCCATGTTGATATACGCTAAACTTTGTTTGTTTATCTCCAGGGCTAAACCTAAAAACTCAACCATGAGCATTCAACCCTGCAGAACCCCTCAAAGGAACCCTTTAAAGAAACCTAAAAGGAATGCTCAAAGCCTAAAAGGAACCCTTAAAGACACCCTTAAGCCTAAACCCTTAAAGGAAGCAACTCTTAACCCCAAGCCCTAAACCCTGAAAGGAGCCCTAAACCCTAAACCCTAAACCCGTAAAGCAACCCCTCAAGAACCTTGCTAGGATGCTTCCAATGCATCCAGCAGTCCAGCAAGCTGCTTGCGGGTGCCTTTGGTGTCAGCAGATCGGACCCTGGGCCAAAAGAGGTTTCTTTAGGGTTTAGGGTTTAAGGTTTAGGGTTTAGGGGAGGGGGGATTGCAGGCTTCGGACTTTAAGGGTTTAGGGTTTCAGGGTTCAGGGTTGTTCTCAAAGGTATTGTTCAAAGGGCGCTAGAAGGGGTTCAGGAGGGCGTATTCGGCTTTTAGAGGGGGCCTTAGGGGTTGTTCTACATGCTTAGCTTAGAACGACGGATGATTGGGAATAGTAGCATACGCTTTGCACGGACATGTTTGCCGAACACCGGCCAGTACCTATACAAACATATATGCATATGTGTCTGCATACCTATCAAAATGTACCAGTATGACTGTAGATATAGACAGAAGTATAAGTATGAGTAGCCACATTACTCAGTCTCTCTCTCTCTCTACTCTCTCTCTCTCTCTCTCTCATCTCTCTCTCTCTCTCTCTCTCTCTCTCTCTCTCTCTCTCTCTCTCTCTCTCTCTCTCTCTCTCTCTCTCTGTCAAAATCAGTATATACATACGTATATACATATATATATATATATATATATATATATGAAAAAGTAGGTACCCTATGGGGTCTGTGTTGCGCCTGATTCTTTGCGTATGAGTATGCACGAGAAGCAAATACTGAAATAAATAGATGATCCCTCTTAGGGTTTAGGGTTTAGGGTTTGACGAACGTGAATACTGAAATACATAGATGACACCTCACAGGGTTTAGGGTTTACGGTCACAGCACAGCCACCATGTCAAGACCCAAGACCTTGCAGCCGCAAAGCGTGAGCGCCAAACTGCTTAAGACGTGACCAATAATCCTAGAGCATAATCCCTAATCCCTCTACTCCCAAAGTATCCTACAGCCTTACGACCCTGAATCACTGAAATCTCTAAAGCCCCGAAGCCCACGAAATTCACTGACGACTTGGAAGGTCGGGGGATTCAGTAACTGGTTATCTTACGGAGTCATAAGTACCATAACCCCAATTAGGGTCCCTGTTGGGGTACTTATAGGTCTACTTACTACCTACTTACCAAGTTCCCCGACCCTCCAAATAATGTGCATATAGAGGCCTCAATAATTAGAATAGGGTTCCTTTAAGGGTTCCTTTGAGGCTTCGATTAAGGGTTCTTGTAAGGGTTCCTTCAAGGGTTCCTGTACAGGTTCCTGTAGCCCTGAACCCTAAACCCAACTCAGGACAGTCTCGGTGGACGTGTTTCACGTATCTGTGCCGAGGCGGGGTCAGCCAGGTCGGATGAAAAGCAAAGGGCGAGGGTTCCAAGGGGTTATCTAGGACCTAGAGTAGGCCCTTATTCCCTTTGTTGAGGGTTCAGGTTCCCGTATACGCCCCTTTGCACCAAAATGGGCACCCTTTTTATTCCTAGGTTACTCTTGGGTCTAGTTATGGGGGTTCCTTTAAGGGTCCCGTGAAAGGGATCTATATGGATTCTATAAGGGTATAGGGTTAAGGGCCTCCTTGGAGGTTCATGGGTAGATAGAAGTGGGGGTTAGTAGTCCCCGAATATGGCCTATAATCATACGGTTGATGATACAAATCCTGCATGACCCGCAAGGACCCTAAACTATGGGAATTATGGTATATTCCTTATTATGGGTACTGCAGGATTTCTATCATCCACCGTGGTTACCCCACTTATAGCTACCTACGAACCCTCCAAGTTCCTGCAAGGATGCCTCTGAGATCCAAGCCAATCAGGATTCCTTTAATAAAAACCCAGACCCCCGGGAGGATCCAAAAAGTAGATCCCTTAATGGGGGTTCCTATAAAGTACCCTTAGTAGTATAGGGCCCCAGATTAGGGGATCTACTTTCTAGATCCTCCCGGGGGTCTGGGAATGCTACCGCGGGGGATCCTTTAAAAGTTCTTCTGAGGGTGTTTATATGCCTACTTAGAACTACCCATGAACCCCCGAGTAGGACTTCTAAAACATACCGGCAGTTATCGCCAACTGACGGTCTGGACATTACTCGTTTTCGGTACTCTTTTTGTTTCGGTGTAGAGGTTTTTAAATAACAAGCAGAACATATGAAGGTCTGAAGCATGTATTAGTCAACGAGCAACTCGCCGAAAACCCTTTGACAACGTACCCCAACACTCGCTGCTCCTCTGATTAAGGCCCCTTTTCTACGCCCTATGAAAACCCTAGTATAGTAAGAGCTCAGGATTTGAACCGTCCTCGCGGCGCGAACCGCAATCCACTACGTACGAGGGCCTGAAAGAACCCAGAGGCTCCAAAACCCCTTAATTAAGGAATATACCTTAAATTATAATAGGAACCCGAATATGATTTAAGGTATATTCCTTAATACAGGGGTTTTGGAATCTCTGGGAATTCATCTCCTGTCTCTTCAGCAGTCTTTGCGGGGGTGTCCAGGGGTAGCAGTTGCATATTGGCAGCTGCAGCTACTGCTCGTACTTCGGGCACGGGCCGTGCGTCCCCTGTCTTCTTCTTTCCCTATGTCGGTCCCCTACTGGTGCCGGCGACATATTCTATGTTGACCTGCAGCAGAATGGCCACTTTGTCCCGTCCGACGCCTTCGTCGATATCACGCTGCTCTTTGCAGCGGCAGTCGGCTGCAACATCGTGGTCATTGAAAACCACTGTGGCTGGCAGTATCCTGAGCACGAGACTTGTCGGGTGTAGTTCATGAGTGTGCCGCAGGTCATGCAGCACATCATCGGGAATTACCAAGAGTTCAAGCCCTAAGCCCTAAACCCCTAAACCCTCAACCCTAAACCGAAACCCTCAAAGCCCCCGTGAGAGGCTCTACGGCTGCAAGTCCATCCATCACCTCGTCTCGCTGACGGAGGACGTCGACTCGCGCCTCCCGGAGGCAACGGGAAACTGGGCAAGGGAAAAAGAGTTTAGGACTTAAGGGGTTAGGGTTTAGAGTTTAGGACTTAGGGTTTTAGGGTTTAGGACTTAGGGGGTTAGGGTTTAGAGATTGAAACTTAGGGTTCAGGGTTTAGGGCTTATAGGACTTAGGACTTTAGGGTTTAGAGTTTGAGACTTGGGGTTCAGGGTTTAGGGCTTGGGGCTTAGGGTTGAGTTTAGGGTTTGGGGTCTAGGGTATGGCGAGCATTCAGGTTCCTGGAAGTGTTTAGACGGTTTAGGGTGTACAGTAGCGCTCAGGATTCCTTACAGCAGAAGCCAAAAAGTTGGAAACCCCATGGCCTCAATCCTTAAGAGTAATGTATAGGGAATCCCAGCACTATTTGGCCTTTATCCGGTTTCCAACTTTATGGGGTTTACTGTAAAGGGTTCCTATAATTGTTCCCTCCAGGGTTCTATGTTTAGGGGTTTACGGGTTTGGGGGTAAAGAACCCCTGGCCACAAACCCGACATAGGCGGGCGCTGCTTGAAAAGGGAGTGTCATTACACATTCATTCAAAACCCCAATGCTACTTTGGGGCTTCCTTATTATTAGTATAGTATAATGGGCACCAAAAAAACCCTAACTATTCCAATTATTAAAGCACCGATCTTAAATTAAACCCCCAAGCCCTTAAAGGAACCCTTAAAGGGAACCCTACAGGAACCTTTACAGGAACCCTGAAAGGAGCCCTTAAAGGAACCCTCAAAGGAACCCTGAAGGAACCCGTAAAGGAACCTTTAATCGAAGCCTCAAAGGAACCCTTCAAGGAACCCTATTCTCATGATTCAGGCCTCTATACACATTACTTGGAGGGTCGGCGGACTTAGTAAGTAGGTAGTAAGTAGACTCATAAGTATCCTAAAAGGGACCCCTACTTACTTGGGTTGTAGTACTTATAACACTCCATAAAGCAACCACT